GCACACGTGCGCGTGTACGAATGGAGGAGCCGGACCCCGCTGACAGCCCCCACGCACACTGCGCATGAACAGGATGCCTTCCGGGGCCTTCAGCACCACCCCGGGAAAGAAGGCGCCTCCAGAGCAGGGCAGTACACAGTAGGTGGTTCCTAAATGTTGAATGTGGGCCGACAGGCAGCCCCATCCTGGGCGTGTGACTTGGGCTTCTGTTTTGTTTTTGGACAGTTGGAATTCTCCCCCAGCCCTGTGGGGTGCAGACAGACTAGTCTTATTTCAGACAGGACCCCGAGGCTCTGAGAAGAGGCACAGCCCCAGACCCCCAAGGTCTCCAAGCTGGGGTCCCCCAGGGCTGGTAACCCCCCGAACTGGGGTCCTGAAGGGCCAGGGTCTTGAGGACCAGAGGCAAAAGCCTGCTGGTCCCTTCCCTAGGTGCTGGTCACTACCCCCTCGACCCCAGGGTTTGGAAATTAGACCCGTTGCATGCACCTGGAGCCATGGATGAGGTCCCAGGTATTCCAGCAGCCTCCCCGTGCCCGCTCTGGCTCCTACGTACGCTGCGCTGTGCCCTCTGAGGTCTGGGCACATCAGACCGCCACCTCAAGCAAACAGCAGGGGGTAACATAGGGGGCCCTTGTTTTTCTTTCTGCAAATGGCCTAGGAGGGCATGATGGTGAGAATGTGGGTGGGACAGTTTTGTCACCAAGGCCAGGGGCCATGTGTTCAATGGTGCGTGGTGCACCCACCGGGTGCCGGCTAGCGGCAGGTGTATTACCAAGCCCTCCCTGGGATCTCCTTGGGTCCCTGCAGCCCCCCTCCCACCTTGTTCTGGAACAGCAATTCTCAACCAGCGTGGCTGTGCTTCCCCACGCCTGGGGACATTTCTGGTTGTCACACTGGGTGAGTGGGTGCTGGTGGCATCAGCAGGGTGGAGGCCAGGGATGCCGAAAACACCTCACAGTGCACAGGAAGCCCGGGCACCCCAGTGTCGAAGTGCAGAGGCGGGGAACCCTGCCTGCCACCCCTTGCAGCCCGTGCCAGGTACCAGGCAGCAGGCCCCACACCCTGGCTTCCCACCAGACCATGGAAACAAACAGGCCACGGCACAGGGGTTTTACCAATTTTATTTCTAGACTTTTCACGTTTGTCTTTTGCTTTCTGCTGGAAACGTGCCGGTTATATGTCTGCGGTGGGAAGCGGTGTGCACGCGGCCCCGCGGCAGCCGCCGCCACCAACCATGACCCAAACCGCCTCCGCCCAGACCCCTACAGACACGGGGACGCGCTCCCTGGGCCTGCCACCAGCCATGGGCTTCCGCCCAGTGCGGAAGGCGTCCGCCTTGCCCTGCGCACCACTACGGACAAACAGTCCCTCAAGGAGCCCGTTTGGTTCAGAGAAGATGCAGCGGGTGGTTCTGAGGTAAGCATAAGCAGTGTTCCTGGGGGGCAGGGGTGCAGCCAGGCAGGGGCGGGCAGGGTCCTGGCCTTGCGGGCCCACCAGCATGCCCACCCTTTTGGTTTGGGCCCGCGGCGCCATCGGCTGGCTTCATCGAGATTTGGAGTCTCTTTAAATTAGCATCATCCTGTCATCCACAGAACAAGAGACACTAGTACATCCCAACAGACCAGACACGCCCCAGACTGAACACAACTCCAGAAGCTGTTCCAATGGTCCTGGGCACTGCACCCAGGCAGTGCCCAAGACAGACTTGTCAAGCAACCAAGCAACTTTCGTAGCCAAACACAAAGAACGATGCAGCTTTTAAAAAGCACCGCGATGGTAAATCCCAGGTCAGATGAAGAATCCAGCATGACAGGCACAGGGGAGAGGACATGGGTGCGGACGGGTCTTGGGGGAGGCCTGCTCGGTGGATGTGAACGCCGCACCACTGCCAAGCCCACCGTCCATCCGAAGTGGGAGGCCGTGGGTCAAAACCTGGCCGCCTGGTCTACACATGGCTAAGTGAAGCATGAGGTATTGTGAAACAGGAACCTTTTTTGGGACAGAGCGGTAATCACATATTGATCACATTAAAAAAAAAAAAAAAAAAAAAACTACAAAAAAAAGGCATCCGTAATACAATTTTCTATGAGAATATTAAAACCCTAGAACATGGCTGTATATGACATTGTAAAACAAAACAACTGATCCTCCAGTAGCAGCAAAACAATGTGAAAGAGACACAGGGAAGCGATGTGAATTTGTTTCCAAACCATGCTGGGAATGCTGGGAAGTCACCTATAGCAGCGCAGTAAGAACGCAGAGCCACCACCCTGGCCTGGCGTGGCCGCCGCCTGGCATTCGGCGGCAGCGTTCCCCCCCATGGACGTCCAGCTCACGTCCTCTCTCCAAGCCATCAGCCTCAATGCTCCCGCCACCTCCCTTCAACACTTCCTACATAATAATTACAACCAGGTACGTCACCAAGATGTGCAAATTGTCTATGGTTGCTAAATTTCCTTAGAAAAGGAGGGGGCTGGGGGAAGAATCTCTTGGAACTGAACGGACTTCAAGTGCGCTAATTTGGAACCTTATTTCAAGAGCACCAATTTCCTACATACCGGCTCAATCACTATCTACGTGTGGCTTTTCTTGTCTTGTTTCTTTTTCTTGTTGTCTGTGAAAAGGACCTATCTTTTACAAACCGTATTAAATCTGCAACATCCAAGGCAGAAAGGTTTCTGCACGTGTGTGTGTGTTTTAAATCAAGGGGAGATTGCATTACTTTATAAATCATACTGGCCTTGCGAACATCCTCTGCAATAAATATTCTTTTTTCAGCCTTAACTATAAATTATATATTTTAGTGTTTAAAAACCTTCAGTTGTAAAACACCTTAAAAAAAAAAAAAACCAAAAAAAAAAACAAACCAAACCAAACCAAAAAGCCAAACCCACTGCCGTCGAGTCGATTCCGACTCATAGCGACCCTAACAGCAGAGTAGAACTGCCCTATAGGGTTTCCAAGGCTGTAATCTTTACGGGAGCAGACTGCCACATCTTTCTCCCGCGGAGCAGCTGGTGGGCTCGAACCGCCGACCTTTCTGTAGCAGCCGAGTGCTTTAACCACGGCGCCACCAGGGCTCCTAAACCAGCTAAAAGAGAATCCTTAAACTACGTGTTCCCTAGGTTAACCTTTAAGGCCCCTACTTTCAAACACCAGTTGGCACCAAAGGATGTCTGAATTTCAACTTCTCTACAGAAAAGGAATGTATCCCGGCAACGTGAGGATGCAGTTCTTGTGATCCCTCTTGACCGAAACGTAGCCTTCAGAAAGACCCCCTTCCACGAACACCCTAGTGACACAGACTTGCTCTCCTATCCTGTATGCACACAAGTACGTGAATATTCCCAAACCATTCCATTAAAAAATCGCCCCTCTCTCCCCGCACACCAACTAAACACAGATGCTCCCCGGAACTACTGGACTGAAAGTGCTTTGAAATGGAATGGTTTTAGAACATTGGGGAAGGAAAACAAACACAAAGACCCACACGTAGTAGCTGTGGGTTTAACCTGGCTGTGGGCAGGCTACACATCTGTTGGGTGAAGAAGAAGAAAATAAAACAAAAAAAAAAAACAAAAAACAAAAAAAAAACCCAGCGTTTCATAAACAGGTTAACTACAAAAATATGAAGATTATAAAAATAGAATATATTATGTCACTATTTGTTTTCTCTCAGTAATAGCGTATCGGAGGAGTCGAAGTTGGCCTTTCCCGATATCGCAGGCTGGCACCTGACAAACCTTTGCCTGGGCGGCCGACCCACAGGCGTAACGGGGATGAGCTGAACGCTTCTACACTAACCGAGAGGGTCCAGCAATCACTGCTAAGGTGAAGAGGTTATACATCTACCTAAGAAATAAAATAAACACGTACAAATGACTTTTAAAGTGACTACATGCAAAAGCAAGCAAGATAAAGGCCTAGAACCGCGTGAAAACTATGCTGTTCAGAAAAAGCACAAGAATATGTATGTTTCTACCTAAAACCCTCTTCTACTTTAAAAATGGTTTGTTGGCTTTTCTTAAAAAAATTTTTTTTTACATGTTTTTATGCTTTTTTGTTTTTTGTTTTTTTTAAAACACGTAAAGAATCAAATCTAATCTTCCCTGGAGACAATTCCTTTGTGTTAACGCCTATTCTTACTACACAGACAAAGCCATTAATATAAAAGCTAGTTGATTACTGGGGTATAAAATCCTCTATTATCGTGGCACAACCTCCCTCCCCCACTCAGGGTTATGCAAATATCTATTCTCTCCCTCTCTTTTTATAAGACAGTTTTCGGGGTGATTTTTTTTCTGTTGCTTAAGTCATAGACGGCAGGGAGAAAGAGCAAAGGAAAAACCGATTAAAAAAAAAAAAAAAAAAAGGAGAATGAAGTTTTCCTTCTGTAGCGGAATGTTCTGGAGAAGCACAAGGCCGTCGGGGGAGCACCGGGCTGCTCCTTCCAGGGAGAGGTGACCTCCGCCCTAGGGGGGTGCTGGCCGCTGCTCCACTCGCCGGTGGTGGCGGTGGGTGGTGCCTGCCTGGCACCCTCAAATGTTCACATCCCGCACGTCGGTGGGGGTGCAGGCCAGGTCCACCTCCTCTTCCTCTTCCTCCTCCTCTGCAGCCTTGGGGTCCAGGCTCTGTTGCTGGGCCTGGCGCAGGCTTGACTCCAGCAGGGCCTCGATCTGCTCCTGGCAGGCCCGGAGGCAGTCCTGTGGAGGCGGGGTGGACAGAGGGGGTCTGAGAAGAGGCCTGGGCCAAGGTTTCTAGAAGCGCAAAGCTCGGTGAAAACCCTCTTGTAGTGCTGCATGGCCCCCAACCCAATGCACCCGATGGAGAGCTGCTATCAAACACCCCACTGCTGGCCACCAGCTGCCTGCTGGGCCCTGGTGATGCCACTTGGGGCCCAATGTCTCCTCCTTCCACCAGCTTCCCCACGCCACAAGACTGCGGCTTCTTTTGTCAACACAGAACCGTGCTGCCCACCACCCTGCCTGAGTCCCCTGGGCACCGGGGGCCTCGAGCTGGAATGCCTTCACTGGCCCTGACCCCCGGCCTAGCTCTCGTGGCCCTTGGTGAATGCAACACCATCAGAGCAGGAAGCCCTCTGAGCCCCTCTTCTCGGGGAACCCAGCCTTCCATGATACGCGGCCCTCCAGGGTGTGAGGCCATCATGACCAAGGGCCTGCGTCTCTGTGACCTACAGCATCCACCGGGGCAGCACCAGCTCCTGCTGACCACAGAGGGCACCAATGTTCAGGCAGGGCGGGGACAAACTCCTGGAAGGTCCTGGAAACACTGCACCTCCAACCTTGCTGGGCTTCAGCCCTGGGGTAAGACTACGTGACTGTGTCTTCCATGAGGAAGGAGGAACCCAGAATCTGGGGACTTGGTGCCCAGGGCCTCTCCTCCTGGTCTCCACGGGGCTCTGAGCTGCTTCTGGCTGCCCAGCGGCCTTGAGGCCCCAGGTCTGGACAGAGAAGCGGGGTTCCGGGACCCACGGATGCCACGCTGGGAGGTTTCTAGAACCAGGCAGTCTCCAGCTGTGTCCCAGCCTGGAATGCACAGACCACCACTCGGCCACAGACCCTGGAGTTGCTGCTCAATTTCCAACTAGATGGGGAAAGACGCCCCCACCAGAAACAGGCCCAGGCCAGACGGCATCTCAGTGGACCCTTGGGGGCCGCCCTCAGAGCTGTGTGTGTCACAGAAGGCAAAAATCCCCCCAAAACCAAACCCATTGCAGTCGAATGGATTCCGACTCATAGTGACCCTATAGGACAGAGTAGAACTGCTCCATAGGGCTTCCAAGGAGTGGCTGGTGGATTTGAACTGCCAACCTCTTGGTTAGCAGCTGAGCTCTTTAACCACTGCAACACCAGGGTTCCAACGAGGAAGACAGGGCAGGTACAAAAGGCACCATTTTACAGATGAGAAAACTGAGGCCCAGAGGTGCTCCGACCCCAAACGCCGTCAACACACCCTCAGTCCCAATCCTGAGAGCCTGACAGCTCCCACCCTCGACCTTCTAGCTCTTTGCATGGAACCCTTAGGCGCAACTGTCTACCTGCCCCTGGGAACTCGTGGCGCAGGGCTGCCTCGGCGAATTCTGCAGCTCTGTCACCTGTTTTTCCTCCCAGCAGCCCTACAGACCGGGCTCCGGGGCCATGGCTGCCTGGAGCCCACACTGCGAGGTCACAGTTGGAGCAGGGTTTCCTCGCCCTTCCCTCTGCCCCGCCTCTGCCCCGGAAGGCGCCTGGTGAGCTGCAGCGCCGGCGGGACCTGGCCATCCTGAGTGGACGATGGCGCCCACTAGTGGCCACAGCTCTCAGCAGCAGGAACCGAGCTCCTGGGCGGAAGGAGACCCAGCTACTGAAGCGCCCTGGGCGGGACAGGAAGGCCGGCCACCAAAACAGACCGCCAAGAATGTGCCACCTGCCACGGCCACCTGGAGGAGTCCCCAACCACCTGGGGGTTGGCGGTGGCCTGGCAATGAACCCAGAGTCCCGGTGTGAGCAGAGGCAGGCAGCCGCAGCCCACCCCTACCCCGAGCAGTCAGTCGGCGCCAAGAGGGTGCCAGGAATGGTACACCAAGCCCAGCTCCAGAAGGGTGCACACCTCACTGCTGGAGATCACGCCGAGCTTCCACCCACCAGGCTCTCTGTCCGAGTCAGGCTGAGCTACCTCTGCCACCTGATAACCACACAAGCCACGTGCTCACTGTTGTTGTGTGCCGCCGATTGGACTCATAGCAATCCCATAGGGCAGAGTGGAACTGCCCCATAGGGTTTCCTAGGCTGTGGGTAATCTTTATGGAAGCAGACCGCCACATCTTTCTCCTGCGGAGTACTGGTGGGTTTGAACTACCAGCCTTTCAGTTAGCAGCCAAGTGCTTAACCACGGCACCACCAGGGCCTCCCACGTGCAGCCACAGTTAATTTCTCCCCCTAGGCTGTCAGGCTTTTTATATTTCAGGTCTAATTAGAACCACGTCCATTTAAGTTAAGGGGCAAAGCAGCAATTCCCCACAACAGCCTGCAGGTGGCGCTCTGTGGCACCGCAAGGGACACCGAACAGACCGGCCCCAGCAGCCAAACTGTGAGCGTGTGCGCGCGCAAAAGTTTTCATTATGGGTGTGCAGCTTGGGGTTCAAAGTCCACACACACAGTTTCATTCTGACACCCAGGGCTCCTTGGCTTTGCAAAGCCCCATCATTAAAAAAATCCGTCTTGGAAGAAGCACAGCTAGAATGCTCCTTAGAAGCAAGGATGGCGAGACTTTGTCTCATATCTTTGGACATGTTATCAGGAGGGACCAGTCCCTGGAGAAGGACATCATGCTTGGTAAAGTAGAGGGTCAGCGAAAAAGAGGAAGACCCTCAAGGAGATGGACTGACACAGTGGCTGCAACAATGGGCTCAAGCATAACAATGATTGTGAGGATGATGCAGGACTGGGCAGTTTCGTTCTGTAGTACGTAGGGTCGTTATAAGTCAGAACGGACTGGATGGCATCTAATATCCTTAGAAAGCTGTGGTATGATGCCGTCACTGAGCAGTAAGTGGGGAGCTGGCTGCACCCCACGCTCCCCAGACGAGCTGGAGGGCGGTCACAGCGTGGGGAGGGGCCGCCTCCAGAAAGGTGATATGCATCACCCAGGTGATTCCATCAGCCAGCCACCAGGAACACCACTGGGCAAGGGGTTCACCTCACACCCAAACCCCCGCTCCGCCTCTTGCAGCTTGGTCCTTCCCCATGCTGGCCGCACCCCTGGGGTGACCCGCAAAGGCAGCCCAGTCGGGGACCACCTGGCCCTTGTGCATAGAGGGAGCCCTGGGTGGAGACGGTCACCCACACACAGCCGGTGGCCACCTCCGACCTGCCAACCTCCTGATCTAACTGGGGAACTGTCACAAACTCTTGTAATTGTTATTTTAATTCCTTCTCTAAAAAGAGACAAGGCTGGGGATAAAACATAGCACTTGAAAGAAGACCTGGTTGACTCCGAGTTTAGGGCTCAGAAACCAGGTTGTCTCTACCAGCCTCACTGTGCACGTCTGCAGACCACACAGGGGCCCTTCGAGACTACCGGCCATCCACACTGTCGCCCAGACAAAGCTCGCCAAGGCCCTGACCTCACCCGCCATCAGGACACGGATCACTGACTGGGGCTGCCTTGTGGCCCGGCTTCCTGAGGGACACAGCCCTGCCCGCTCCCGGGTGCCTCAGGGAATGCGAGAATCCACGGACAACCCTCCTGGTTCCACCAGCAAGTTCCAGAAGGTGCCGGTGTTTGCAAAGGAGCTCCCTTTCAGAGGCTGGAGGCACCGGCTGGTGTGGGGCAGTCATTTAGGCACAAGGAGGCCTTGGTGGTGAACCGAGAGGACCAAGGTCCTGCCCACATTTCCCCTGCACCCTTGGGCCCCCTCCTCTCCTGAATGTGGTAGGCCCCTGCCCTGTCCCTGGTGCAGCCACAGCCCCCTTGTCCTGCTGGCCTCCGCACCCTTTCCTGCCATCCAGCTACAGCTGTGGACCCCCTGGGCACTCCTGTCTCCCGCCCCCCATGCCCACAGGCCCCACTTGGCCAGCATGCCACCACTCACCGGGTCACACTTGATCACTTTGGAGAGGAACCGCGTGAGGCGGTGGTAGGAGAGGAAGCCGTTGGTACCACCTAGGTGCAAACCCTGCACCGCAGCCACCACGCTCCCGGCGGCCACCATGGAGGGTGGGTTGGAAATGAACTTCACATCTGCGGCAGAGAGAGAGAGGCCGGGCCGTGAGCAAGGGTGCAGGAGACTGCCACCGGCATCTCCTCACGCGTGCATCAGGCCTTCCTAAGCGAAGCACTTGGCTGGTGGTGTCAATGCTGAGACGCTCCCCCCTCACCCTCAGAGCGGTCACCCAGAAGATCACTGGCTGAGCCTCAGGGAGCAGCCCCCAGCACCTGACCAGCCCACCTAAAACTGGATTCCCTCTTCACGTGCGAACGACACGCAGACTGAAAACGCAGCTGCTGGGCACCGGGACAGAGATGGGCGGAGGGGGTGACAGTGGGGCTTCTGGGGACAAGGACAGGTGTCCCCTCACCCTGCCCCCAGCTTTCAGGACTTGTCCTTTTAGCATCTCTGAGCCTGGTGAGTGTATCACTTATTCACAAAAACAAAAGCCTGAAAAACTAAGACACAAACCCCCAAGATGTTGCCTTTACAACTCCTCGCCAAGCTACCAGCCAGCAGCCTGAGTCAACTCCAGCTCACGGGGACGCCGCGTGTCAGGGCAGAACTGTGCTCCATGGGGTTTCTAATGGCTGTTTGTTTGGAAAGAGATCACCAGGCCTTTCTTCCTAGGTGCCTCTGGGTGGACAGGAACTGCTAACCTTTTGGTCAGCAGCTGAGCACAGGCCTAACCCTAAGCCACGCTCTAAGCAGCTGCCACCACCAAGGACTGGAGACTATGGGCCATATCCTGAAGGGACGCGCGGACAGGGGCCCAGGTCCCCACCCAGATCAGGTGGGGCTAGTTGCTATACGCTGTGCCAGCAGAGCCACTCCTCGAGTCCCCGAGGCCGGAGCCCTGCGGTCCTGGGGAGGGACAGCTCAACCCCTCCCCCTCAGGAGGAGCCCTCTGGGCAGCCCATCCCCCTCCCTCTAGGGGAAGGTGGGTGAGTAAGCCCCACCAGGCCCTTTGCTTGCAAGGCTGTGACAAAAGGGCCCTCCCTGGGCCACACTGGATGTAGCCCGGCAAAACTCCAGTGGTTTGCTGTGTCCCCAGATGAGGGAAAGCTGGATGATCTATGCCCAGCCAGTGTACCAGATGGCCCCGGGAAATGGAACGGCCAGGATGCCAGCCAGAAAGGGGCTTCTGCTTGTCCTCCCTGGGGGGCGGGGGGGGGCCTGATGCTGAAGGCATGTGTCCCCCCTCCTCACCTCCCTGCACCTCGAGATCCAGCTCTGCCCCACCTAGCTGGCTGACCCCAGATGCCCAGCCCCCAGCCCCCAGCCCCTTGGTGCTGTCTTGGGGACCATGGGCACACCCCCCCACCTGAGCCCACCTCCAGATGCAAAACTAGGGCAGGGAACCAGCTCTGGCTACCAGCTCCCCTTGGCCGCTGCCAGATGCTTATCTGCCGTGTGCTGGGCCACCTTCATCCCAGGTCACTGCAGCCGGGGTGCAGCGTTTCACATGCTCCCTGCCTGGCACCCTGTAGGCACCACGGCCCCAGAGACCCTTGAAGACCCCCAGGTAACGCAGCCCACTGGGATGCACTCATGCACACTCCGGAATATCTGCTTTTCCTCTGCTGGGCACTGAGCAGAGAAACACAGCCGGCCCAGCACCCTCAATGCGGACAGGAGGAAAACCAGTGACAGGTGGGTGGCGCTACGCAGCCTCTGTCCACCCACGCCACTCCAGACTGTCCTGTTGTCTCCCCTTCCAGGCGTTGTCAGTGGATAGGCCATCAATCCCAACACGTGAACCGGGGCCCCTGCCTGTAACCGGGCACCCATACACGGCCAGGGCGTCTCTGTTGGGCCCCCCCGCCTCATCTTGTGTCACTGGGTGCCCAGGAACAAGGGGTGTCAGGTGAGCTAAATGGAGCCAAGCGGGCAAAGGGAGAGGGGGCCCCCAGGACCACAATGCGGCCCTCGCAGGCCAGCTGAGACTTCATCTGAGAGGGGACACCGGTCAGGGGACTGGGAAGAAAGGCAGCCACCCCAACCAGAGGACAAAGCCAGCTTCTGGGCACTGTGACAACTTAAAAGGAACCCCCAACGAGGTCACCACCTTGCTCCCTCTTTAAACGGGGGAGTCCACCCAGGGTGTGAGCCGGTAGCCGGGAATGAAGAGCTTTGCACTGAGGCAAACCCAATCTCGCATAGAAACCACGCCTGCAGGCGCAGGAGGTCCCGGCGGGCACTCGAGGCACCACCTTCAGGGCACAGCAGGGGGTAACTGGGGCAGAGACGTTTCCAGAGCTGCCCCCCTCCGTTGGAGCTGGTGGGGATCAGGGCGGGAGGACTCATGTTTGGGTAAGGGGTGATCCGTAGGGAGCACTGGAACTCTTAATACTCGTTCCTATTCATTGTCTGAGCCCTGGTGGCGCAGCGGTTAAAGCACTCGGCTGCAAACCACAAGGTCAGTGTTCAAATCCGCCGGCCGCTCTGTCGTAGCCTGGCAGAGTCCAGTCACCTGTGTGCAGAATGATGCCGCCTCACTGGAGGGATGTGGCCTTGCTGACTGCTATTTGTTTGTTAAACTCAGGTATGTGCTAACTTCAAGGGACACGGGATTTCTCTTCCTACCCACCCACCAGCTGAGAGTTGACTCTGACTCACGGTGGCCCCACGTCTGTCAGAGTAGGACTGTGTTCCCCAGGATTTTCAGGGGCAGATCTTTCAGAATCACCAGGCCCCAAATGTCACTCCGACTAAGGGCACAGCCACGCTTCAGGGGGCACCTTCGAGGGATTGGGGCCCGGGGTGCAGCAGCGGGGGGGCTCCCTTCTTGGGCTTACCTGCCCCACCACGAGGGCTCCCCGGAGGCCACGGCTGCTCAAGGCATGAGAAAAGCCAGGGCACTCAGAGCCACGTCCCAACTGCACTGTGGGTGGACCCGAGTGAATGGAGCCGAGCTGCACCCCAGCTGGGTTGTGGGGTGCTAGCTGGGCCCCCCAGTCTCAGGGCACTGCTTGTCTATTGGCATCCAGGCCTCTTTGCAACCCTTGACCCTGCTTGCTTCTCTCCATGGCAGGCCCCCCTTGAAGGTCACACAGCCCACTCCCAGGTCCTAGGTGAGAGGGAAGCCCAAGGCTGAGCCACCCTGGGGGAGGCAGGCAGAACTGTCCTTGCTTTATCTTCAGACAACTTTGCCATTTCTCTGAAACCACTCGCAGCTCCATAAAAGGCTGCCTCAGTTCTTTCTCCTCACAGGTGCGCGGCAGTGACCGCCTCCTGCCAGCTGCAAGGCTGGACTTGTGGGGGCCTCCCCCACACCCCACCGGGGCTGCAGGGCAGGAGGCAGGGAGGGGGGCCACCCCCCAGGGTGTCCATGGGTTCTCCCTCCATCTGCTCCCCAGCACCTGGCCCGGAGACTCCGAACACCCGAGAATGCCTGGGAAGCCGAAGAATCTTCCCACCTCTTGGTACAAAGCAAAATCATTCTGGAAAGGCACCCACCAGGGCTGCACCAGACTACAGGAGAACGAAGTCTTCATGTCAGGACTGGGGAACTTCGTCCCTTTTGAGGTGGAGAAAGACCCCAACTGCCTCCTCTCTGATGCCATCCTGCCTTGTGACCCTCAAGTCACTCAAGTGAGCCCCAAACAGACGTGAAAGCAGATGGGGGAGAAGGCAGGTCACAGAGGAGCTGACGGGACGGGGGCCCGGGCACCCCCATTGCGGTGGCCAGGCTTCCTCAGGTCCGCTCACACCATCAGAGGCAGGGCTGGGCTGTGATGTGCGGTGTTGGCACCAAGATCAGAGAGGCAAGCTGGCCGGGGAGGGGCAATGCCAGGGGGAAAGTGGGTGGGCCCTCGGCTGCCAGCCGAGCCCAGGCTCCTCCATGGCTCCTCCCAGGGCCAGGCAGGGCTGAGCTGCCCCTGAGGAGCCCTTGGCGGGGCCTCAGGTGGCTGCACGCCTCTGCTGGCCGCCCCCGCACGTGGTCCAGGCCCTGCGGGCTTGCTCAGTCGCTACGGCTCCCGCCCCTATTGGCGCCCCTGGCAGGGGGCCCAGCCCAGGAGAGGCTGGGAGGGGGCCCCCGCGGCTCAGGCCCCTTGAGGACACTGGAAGAGCTGGAGGTGGATGGGAGGAGGAGGTGGGCCTGCTGCGGGAGTAAACCCCTTCCAGCATGGGGTGACTGCAGCCTGCCACCCCCTCCCCCCCGCCCAGCCACAATGCACTGAATGGTGGCCAGGGCCAACCTCAGCTGTGTGACCCCAAAAGAGAGCAACCCCAACCCTCTGCTCACCAGGGCAGACAAAGAGCAAGAAGGGGTATGGGGTCCTGTGTCTGGATGGGGAAACCGAGACCAAGAGCGAGAAACTGGGTCCCAGTGTCCTGGGGAGGAGGGGTCAGCCGGCCACCCTGCCTACCTGTGGCACACAGCGCCACGAAGGTCTGGGCGTGTTTTCGGATGATCTGCTTGTTCTCCTGGGCCACGGGCATCTTGGAGAGGAAGTGTTCGATGAAATCGTGCGGGGTCATGGCAGCCAGGTTCCACTTGAGCTTGTTCACCAGGAGCAGCTCCATTTGCTGTGGAGAGGGGGCGGGCAGGGCATAGAGAGAGAGAGAAAGACAGAGAGAGAGAGAGAGAGAGAGAAAGACAGAGAGAGAGAGAGAAAGACAGAGAGAGAGAGAGAGAGAGAGAGAGAGAGAGAGAGAGAGGCTCAGGGTCAGCCCTGAGGGGCCGGGATGGGGGCCAGGAGCAGGGCGGAGGGTGGGAGGGAGGAAGGTGGCCTGTTGAGGGGTCCAGGAAGTAGGGCGAGGGGGGCAGACAACCCGCGATCCCGGATCAAAACAGAAAAGGTGCCGCGTGAAAAGGCCCCCGTGCTCATTATCATTAAGCCGACTGTTTGCAAGTGGAGACAAAAAGACCTCCCACCATCTGGAACGAAAGGCCTTATTAATTAGCGCGGGAGGCCTGAGCGCGCCGCCACCGCTAGAGGGCGCGCGCCGCCCAGTTTTCGCCCGAGCTCCCGGGCGCAAACGTGGTCGAAAGCGGGATGTGGGGCGGCCGGCGCGGAGATGGGGGGCGGCCCGGATAACTGCCACCTCCTGTTCCCGCCCCCTCCCCGCCCCCGAGCGGTGTGGCCGCCCTCCCTGTGACCCGCACCCCCACCCCCGGGATCTTATAACAAACGGGGTGCCCGGGGGCTGTGGGGGTCCCCCGGTTACCAGCAGCTCGTCGGGTCGGATAGAGTTGTCTGTGTAGATGCACAGCTTCTCGGCCGTCAGGGGGATGGTCTCCTTCATCTTGGAGGCCACGAACATGCAGGTGGCCCCCAGCAGCTGCAGGCGGCTCTTCTTCACCGGCTCCAGAGACAGGAAGCGGTCCAGATAGTTCATGGCCAGCGGGAAGACCTCCTCCTCGCACTTCTGCTCCTCGCAAACCTGCAGGGGCACGGGGGCCGTGACCACCGCCGCTGAGGGCGTGGGACCCCCGCGCGCGCCGGGGCTGCGGCTCCCGAACGCCGGGGGGCACCGGGCAGGGGGTGGCTTAAGCCTCTGATGACGCGTCCCCACCCCCGCGCGCCCCCAGCACCCATCCACCTCCGAAACTGAAAGGGAAAGTCCCGCGCGGCTGGCACGGTGGGGGCGGGAGCGGGTACCGCGGGCGGCGGCGCAGCCCGGGGACCCCGGCCCACCTGGGGGCTCCGGGAACCCGCCTGGCT